TATTAAGGTATTCTGGTATATACGTTCTAACGTTGTACTGTAAACGTAGTTTGAAATTATCACTTTCAAAACTAACACCTGTAAAGGTTTCATATCAAATCCCTTCAAAAAAACACAACAATCAACTACCTCCGAGTAATAAGAGGGAAAATGTTACGGCAACAGTTTAGATTTAAATTGGTTCAAACTCCATATAAATCGAGTAGAAATGTCTTGAAAAGCACAATCAACAGGTGGATAAAGAAAATGGCATCTACTAACATATTCAATATAATGCCATTAAATCCTCCACAAAGGGAGACAAATTGATAACATTCAAAACTAATTCGAGAATTCGACAACATCCAGTTAATAGCCAGAATATAATAATGCTTAAAGATTTTGCAATTAAACCAATATTGAATTTATTAGTGGTCGTTCACAAACGTGCTCGTAATGAATAAGGAAACCAAAAGAGTAATCTCTCATGCGTATTCAACAAAAAAACTAAACTGGATAAACATGAAAAATCCAGTCATCCCCAAACAAACTAGAATTTAAATGTACCAGCGGAAATAAAAATGTTACAGGCAACAATAAATCTGTTTTCGAAAAAGTAGTTTCGCCTAAAACTATATCATCAAGACAAATAAGTACATCGTATCATCAGTAAAGTGTACCATTAAATGGTACAAAACCTAGGTGCAAACAATCAAATCTATTTTATCGACCTTGAATTTTTTATATGGGCTAAAGAATTGCTTCTTTAAATACCTTTTTTTTGATATTTTCAAAAGTTTCTTGTTTTTTACTACTTGGCAATGGGATTCCCTTTTTGGATTGGGTTGTCTCGGCTTGCACTTGCCGCATTTTTCGTCTTAGATGCGTATTGACTATTGATTGAAAATAAATGTTTATTCCTTCTTTATTCAACATCAAATTCATATAAAAATGGGTCGAATGAACAATGCTGAGTTATTTCCTTACAAAAATACAAATAACGCGACCGTTTACAAAAATGACCTCAAAAATTTCATAATTTTTTCCAAATACACCAGGAAACATCTTTGGTAATTGCTTATAGTTTAAGAGTTCGAACACTTCCATAAATTTGGAAAGGTTGAATTCCAAATGTTAATTTTGGAATATCTGACGATATTTGCTTTGGTCCCTCTATCGCCTAATCTTTTTTGACACTATGTGCATTAGCGCTATCTATTGTTGCAAATTTTCCTGGGCCCAATCAACTGGTTAGATTTATTAATAATTCCTTTATTGGAGATTTAGCATAAACCTTGCTCAACCTTATTTATTGCTATGCAATAGCAATAGGAATAAGCTACTTGCAATAATTTAAATGTAATGAAACAACATTCACTTATTCACCAATTTCGATGAGGAAACGGCAAAATGCACAGCCAGGACTTGCGAAAATCGGAGATCGAGCACTTCTTTATAATGAAATGACTGGTAAATTGTAGCTCTTTGTCCATATTTACACTGACAAACAAGTCCCAGATTTATAGCTAACAGAAGAATACACCCCGACATACCTACAAGGAGTGGGTGTTATTAATAGAAAACGTCGAGAGGCGCAAAAAACGTTTTCGTCGTCTCAAGTACTCTTTTCTGCTATAAATCTTATTTCTATTAAATATTTTCTACAGAAAGGACTGATTCTAGAATTATCCCCGAAGAGAATATAGATTTTTTAAGACTTTTAGTTGTAAAGTGCATCCTGGTCACGTCCATTATGGTCCTTTGTTAGATCTCGAGGTTATTCTTAGTTATTTGGGCTTAAAATGATATTGTCGTCGAAGTGCTGCGTCCGGCACTTATTTACTGTGTAAAAAACCGCATCCTCGCTTACAACTTCGCATTTATTGTTATTAAGGGAGTAATAATTTTTATCGTTCGCCGCAACAACAAAAGAAGTTTTGGAACACGATGTGTACAATACGAGAATTTAGTAAAAAGCGTAACAGTAATAATAAATAGTAAGCACAAACATAAAGAAGCAGTGCTATTGACAAGTGAAACTTCCTACGATAATATGGAACGGCAAGGGTGCTTTTGTGATGCTGACAACTGACTTCCAGGACCTCTTATCCTCTGAATGAAGTATAAGATATGCGTTCCACCCCCTTGGCACCCTTCGCGACACCAACTTGTATCTGGGATTCCTTCATGCGTGCTCAATATATAAAAATCTAGAAGTGTTCACCTTTCACTACCAGATTCCATTTGTCACCTAAGATGTGAATAAAAGTCTTTTGTTAGCGTTAGAAAATTTTGTTGATTTATGATTTTTGTTTAAAAACTTTTTTTCTGTTTCTAACGAATTCGGCGC